CAACTGCCACCAGCTTTGCTGTGATAGGAGCCTGTGGACCACGGGGGAGGGACTGAGAGATGCTCCATGCACTTCCTGGTGACCGGTCATCCATCTGGTCATTTAGGTCATGACAGCCCTAGGCTATTATTAGTATAGATTATGGCAGCCTGGGCGTGCCCTGGTTGTTTTTGTTGTTGTTGTTGTTGTTAATCCTCACCTGAGGATATTTTTCCATTGCTTTTTAGAGAGAGTGGAAGGGAGTGGGAGAGACAGGGAGAGAAAAACATTGCTGTGAGAGAGACATATCAATTGGTTGCCTCCCACACATGCCCTTGACTAGAATTGAACCCAGGACCCTTCAGTCCACAGGCAACGTTCTATCCACTGAGCCAAACTGGCCAGAGCTGGTGTGCCCTGTTTTAAGAGAATCCCATATTTGAGAACCCATATTGAAAAGACAAATATATCAATAGGTAATGGTTCATTTGCCTTTGTAAAGTGCTTTTTCCCCTTTACAAAAGAAGTCACTTCAGAGTTCTTTCAGTAGCATGACTACAATCCCCCCAGCACAAAAATCTAGATTTTCATAAAACTTTTCAAGAACCCATCTGTCCCATTCATTGGCATGTCTCTTTCAGGCTGCTCCTGTCCATTCGCGACACTCAGGAGCTCCACAGTTTAAAGAATCTCTCTGCCTTGACATTTCATCACTTCATTGGTTGAGAATCTGTTTCCTAATCAATGTTGCTGGAAGGAATTCGGCCTTGACTGGGGTTGGGGGAGGAAATGAGAGATTACTAGCTGGGGACATGGAAGCTACTGCTCTCAGAAGAGGGAGGGGTGGGGAAGCCACTCACAATTCTACCCAGACGTGGCTCCCCTCATATAAGAACATGCCAGCGAAGTTCAGAAGTTCTTCGATATAGGGTGTGAGGATTAAGAAAGATCTTCAACTCCATGCTGGTGTGAGACCAACCAAGAACCATTTTCACCTGCGCATGCACGCGCACACACACATACACACACATACACACACACATACACACACACATACACACACACACACTCCAATGGATAGTCACATCACATGGTACACAGATGTGCTGTCTCCTCTCCCTCAGACTCACCACATGTCTACATAGGGTAACACAGAAAGGCACTTGTCTATGTAGACTGACTCTCTCTCTCTCTCTCTCTCTCTTTCTCTCCCTACCCCTGAAGTGCCCCACATATATAATCAGCAGCATTTAAATGAGTAAATAATTAGATAGGAATAGAATTTTTCTCTGATTGGAAAAGAAAAATGATACTTAAGTAAGTAATGAAAGGTGAGGAGTAGGAAGAAAAGGATGAGGAGGAGAAAGAGAATTTGTACGACTAGAAAGCCAGGGAGCTGCCCAGCCAAAGTGCCCACAGGAGGTTGGTCAGTCTCCCTCCCCTTGGAGTCCTCCAAGACGCCACTGTGCCTCTTCCCGGCTGGCACTCCTTCTTCCCCTGCCCATTAGCACCTCCCCTGGAGGTACCGGCAGAGAAGCCGAACCCCTGTGGCTCCCAAAGGGCTGGCCGACTGCTTAGCTCGGATAAGGGAGGAGCGGAGGCTCAGAGGATGCTCTTCAAGCTACTTGGATAAATTAAGAAAAGTTAAATTGTTTGCCTCCAGACAGGCCTCTTTCCCCATTTCTGTTTGCTGTTGCTATAGTTATTGAGAAGTGGCTTGTAGACAACAAAAGGCTTTATTGAAGAGAGGAAAGAGCAGCGTTGACTCTCTCACTGCACTGCGCCCAGAACAGGAGCCCATCCCAGGGACCTGCAACTCACTTTTTTTTTTTTTTTCATTCTGATTCCTATGAAGAGACCAGGCTGGGAAATGTAGAGAAATTTCTTTATGGTTAACGAAATAATTTTTTTTTATATAAAAAGGAAAATTGATCCTTTCCTCCATAACAAGCAACATTTTAGAAATGTACCTTCGGTAGGAGTAAGATAGAAAAACACCTTCCAATGTAAAAGCCCCAAATAAACACCAGAATTCAAATTTCTAAAAGATTTATAAGCAGTATAAGTAATACCCTGGGGGAGGAGAAAAGGGAAACATCCAAACATTGGGTCGTTTTGTTTTTGTTGGCTGAGGTTTTGTTTTTGTTTGCGTGGGGTTTTTGAAGGGGGTGGGGGTGGGGAGAGGAATGCTTGAAAAGAAAGAAGAAAACCTGACAATTTATTTAAGAAGGGCACCGACTTGGCTTCAAAAATCTAAGTTTTGCTTCCTCCAACCAAGTTGCACTCGGGGATGGCTCTAGGCTGTGCGAGGCTCCTTATTTTCCTGCGCAGAGCAAATGGCTCGTCTCATGTGCACAGAAAGGCTGGAAAATATTTTTTGTGATCTGAGTGCAGCAGAGAGTCTAGGATTCCAGAGGAAGTGGAGGCCTCCCGCTCCACACAGGAAACAATCTTCAAGCAGGCCTTAAATGCCAGATTCCAGGCCGAGTTTAACTAACCACTGACAGCTCTGTAAACAAAGCAAGGACAAAAAGAGCCCGCTTCCCCTTTTCTGGTAGTCATTTTGGGTTCGGGGGCTGCAGGGGAATTCTGGAATACTTGACTCCATGGCACCGAAGCGCAGGGGAAGCGGGCTCCGCAGCTGAAGAGCTGGAAAGGGAGGATCTTTCTGGGATTAAAACCATCACAGAGGAGGTAGGAGAGGATAAAACCGTGCGTTACCAGGAGCCGGGACTTTTAAGCTCTGGAAACAGCTTGATCCTAACGTAACCGCTTTTAAAAAATGCTGCTGCGTTATGTTTATTCGTGGTATTATTGCTGCGGTCTTTATCATCATTCTGATGCTAATATTCTTTTAGGATATGCAAATTACGCCTGGGTAGACGTATGATTTTATTTGTCTTTTATTTTTCTCTTAGTTCCTACATGTTCCCTTTCTTGCCACTTTTCTGTGTTCCCTCTAACTTTCTTTTCCTCTTTGTTCACTCTTTCATAACTTTTGTCTGTGTGTGGCTCAGCAAGTCACAAAGAACAAAACCTTTCAGTACCTCTTAAGTGGTCCCATCAATATTTCTAGTCTTCAAAACCTCTCTGACTCCTGAGGTCCTTTTTTTTTTTTTTTAACTGTAATCCTGGAATCTTACTTATTTGCCTCAAATAGTTTCATGAATGAGACTGAATTTCACACAGAAAGGACTCAGCTCGGGAGTCAGAAATTTATCCGTGGCTACAGGATCCGTCTTCTAAGGTGTTTTTCTTAAGAGTAAAGAAAAAATGAGGGAATGAAAAAACGGTGGGGGTGGCCAAAGCAATTCATGGGAGATAATAACTCCAACTCATCGATGATATTGATTCTGCCTCCTCCTCTGCAGATCCAGACATCATCTGGTCTCCCTAAACCTGAAACCACACCATGGATGATTTTGAACGTCGCAGGGAACTGAGGAGGCAAAAGCGGGAAGAGATGCGCCTGGAAGCAGAAAGGTAAGGATCTAGGTTAAAAAATATTTTTGTATTGTGTTGTTGCCAATGTTGGTTTCAGGCCTCACAGATCATCACGCTGAAGGGCCAAGTGTGTGGCACACTGAAATGCTTGCAGCCGTGGTTATGGAAAGTTTTCCCGTTAGTCCTCCAAATTCTGCCTTAAAAAACAAACAAACATCAAGAAAAAGAGAGACCGGAGAAGAACCAAATAGTTGCATGTACTCAGTGCCTTTCAGAGTGGAATGTTTAAATGACAAAGGCAATGTGTGGAGAAAAGTTTCAGAAGCAGGTATACTGTTAAAATGACATAAAAATGACAAATATTGAATATTGAAAGCATTCAGGAAATGGGAGTCTTTGGTTTAAAAAAGTAAAGGCAGTAAATACCAGCTGGATCTTGTGGCACATTTTTTATTCTTATTAGAAAAGCATGTAAATGCAGGAAACTGTGTATTATGGGTTCGTAGCCGGTGGGTAGGTTACTGTGCAGATTTTGAGTCTAGTTGGAAGCGGCTACCTTGTGTGAGGCCTCTGTTGTGATGACTTTAAGGGCAGGTTGGGGAAATGAAACAATGCCATGTGAAGCACGGAATATAAATGCATATTTTAAATTTTTGACCTCAGAGCTAAGGACAGTGGCATTAAAAGTGGCTTAAACCAGAGGGTCTTAAGAGAAAGCGGAGTTGGCATTCGCAGGAAGAAAAATGTTAAACAATGATCTTAAAATCAAATCAGTGTTGCCTCACAGTAATTCCAGTGCACAAATGAAAAGGTGGTAATAAGGTGATCCCTTAGGGATTCTGCAGGAGAAAACTGGTGCTTACACCTATAACAAAAAGTTTTGGGGTCCATAGGCTCTACTTATTTGTCTGGAGAATGCAAAAGAAGAAGGTGAAATTACTGCCTTTGACTAACTTGGTCAGAGTAGGCTGCCATTCATGAAATGTTTATGCACATACATGCATGGTACCTGGGCTCTGTGGGTTCAAATCCCAGCTCTGCCACTTCTGAGCTGTGTGAGCATGAATGAGCAAGTGACTTGTCTCTCAGTCACAGTTGCCTTATTTGTAAAATAGGCATAATATCTACATAGTTTGTGTGCTTGTGAAGATTGTGGAACTTCATAAATGACTTAGCTCAGTCCCTGGCACATAGGAGGCTTCTATAAATCGTAGTTATTATTCTTTTTTTACCAGTGGCATTAGCTAAATACATAAGAAACAAAATATCAGTATAGCCAGAACTAAACATGAACTCCAGGAGAAGGAAAAGCAGTCCTCATCCTGTGATGAAACTAGCCAGGCAACGCTCTTGGAAAGTGGTAAGCCATGGAGAAAGCCACGATATAGACAGAGTAAGAAGGGAGCCATGTAGGTGAGGGAATCACACCAGCAAAAGCCCAGAGGTGGAACTAAGACTCCTGGTGCAAGAAATTGTTGAGTACTTGGGGAAGAGTAAGTGGGACTTGCACCTATTGGATGTTGCAATTTCACACAAAGAGCAATAGACAGACCCGGCAGGGGAGTGGTGTGTGATGAAAATGTTAGAAAACGTTATCTACAATGGACTAGAGTATGGCGATACCAGCACTGAAGAGCTAGTATTAAACATACAGTAATGAGAGTCTGACTCAGGGCAGCGAATATGAAAACAAAGATCAAATATGATAGTCTTTATAGCAGGAGAATTAGCTAACCAATCAGGAGAGGGAGAAACTCAAAGACAATTCCAAGGAATATAAGTCTGAGGAGCTGGAAAGGTCTCTGCATTGTCCCAGTTGGGAAACTGGGATGGGTTCCATTCTTGGATAAGTATGGGAGGGAGTGTTTAATTTCCTCTAGAAACTACATACAAGTGGGGATTTCCTACAGGCCTTTGGCGATAGAAAGTTTCAATGTTTGTTCAGAAAAGGAGAGAGATTACTATCTCTCTATATAAAAGCCAAAGCGACCGTCACAACCGAAACAACTGAACGGATGACCAAACAGGGTGCGTGGGGCAACCAGGCCGGCGTTTTTGGGGGGGGGGGGGGGCAGTTAGGGGCGATCAGGTTGGCAGGCAGAGGTGGTTAGGGGTGATCAGGGTGGCAGGGGGTCCAGCTAGGGGCGATCAGGCAGGCAGGCAGGTGAGCAGTTAGGAGCCAGCGGTCCTGGATTGTGAGAGGGATGTCCTACTGCCGGTTTAGGCCCGATCCCCAGGGGTCGGGCATCCCCTAAGGGTTCCTGGATTGGAGAGGGTGCAGGCTGGGCTGAGGGGACCCCCTCCCCATTCACGAATTTCATGCACCAGGCGTCTAGTTAGAGAAATAAGTTTGGGCACACTTAGTATGCCAGTAGTAGTACAAAAGCTGAAGATGGATGGCAGTGATGCTGATGAGAAAACCAGTGTAGAGAGAGCAGGAGGCTATAAAGACATAATGGAAGCCATCCCAGAAGACCCAACAAAATCAATGAAATAGGGAGAAGCAGGGAGAGTATGGGGGCGCCAGTTTTGAGTGGACATTGAGGCCATGTAGGCAGCATCCAGACCCAGTGGAGCACACCTCTTATTCTCTCCAACAAGGTGGTATTTGGCCTCTGGTTCTCCTGCAAGTCCACAAAATATCTTTACCCAACAAAGATTTATTAAGCACCAACCAAGTTTCAGTGTCTGTGTTAGGGGCAGGGAAAATAATGGTGAGGTATAAATAGATATGGTTTCTGCCCTTAAGTCCCTCATGGTAAGCTAGGAAACTAAAGCACAGCAGGGTCAGAAATCAGGCCAGGCCAGAATGGGGGTGAGAGGGGCTCAGGAATGAGGGCAGGAAATTGGGCATCAGGCTAGATCAGTGTCATCAGTTTCTTTGCTTCGTATGTGAATAAGGAGACAGGGAATCCATGTGAGAGGAATGTTAGAACTAACTTGCTGTGGTTAGAGCCATACTGTGATTAGAGTGAATAAGCCAGGGCTCTTTAGAACTAGCAGTTTGCCTAAGAATTTTCCACACAGCTGCATAGTTCATTCCTTCCAATTTTTTTTGTTTTATGTGGAAGGATATGTCTTCCTGTCTTTCTTTAATGTCAATCTTAAAAGGAATGTACTTGGGGAATCTTAGGTAGGTAGGTACCCTTAATAACCTAAAATAAATTTATACAAATGTATCCTAACCTTGTTTAACTGTCTATATTAATTCTTTGGGGTATTATATTCCATCTGATTTCTTTTCTTTCTTTTTTTAGAGAAGTACTTAAGTAAGTTCTTATATTGGTACTAAGTTTATTATTTCATGTTTCAAGGTGAACCTTCTCATTCTAATATACTGGGTTCTGGTATGTAAGCCCATGTTTACCTTTTGGGATTTTGTAAAATCTGATCATTTATGGGAATAGTGAAGGTCAGGCTTTGTGGTCCAGCCAACTTTGAGGGGAAAGTTGAGGGTGTGTACAGGAAACAGATGGCCAGAACCAGAAGTCAAGGGCTGCCTAAAATCGTGGTTTTGATCTGAAGATAAAGGGCATGTAAGACCTTGGGCAAGTCCCTTTTCCTTTAACTTTAGACTTTGGCTTTCTCATCTGTAGTAGGAGTCGGCGTTTTCTTTGGGGGTTTGGTGGTAATTTTTACTTTCCTTTTACTTTTGGTATTATCTAAGTTTCTTTTACAATGGTCATATATTACTCAAGTTAAAAACAAAACAATAAGGCAATTTTATATTTTGGAAAATGTGATTCTATGGTCCTACACATTATGCTTAAGAAAACTTAACTTTCCTTTGGATTTAGGGAAATAAAGAAAGAACTCAACCCCAATCTGGAATGGTGGTGGAGTAAATTAGCAGAAGTAGAGTGGCCCCAAGGCTCGGAGCTGCAGGTTCTTTTATTCACACACTCATTCAACAAATTTTTATTGGGCATCTACTCAGCTCCAAGTTCTATTTTGAGCACTGAGGACAGAGCAACAGAATGACAGAATTGGGAAGAGTGTGCATAATGCTTTTCAACCTTTATAAAACCAAGTAGTGATCAAGAAACTACATTTTTATATCTTCAAATATAATATGGTCCTGGCCAGTGTGGCTCAGTTGGTTGAGTGTCATCCTATATATTGAGAGGTTGCATGTTCCATTCCCAGTTAGGGCACATACCTGAGTTGTGGGCTTGGTCTCCTGTAGGGGGTGTGCAGGAGGTGGTGATGGATGTTCCTCTCTCCCCCTCACCCTTCCTCTAAAATCAACAAAAACATACATATGTGCTGTATCCCTGTAGACTGTGTGGGGGAAGAGGGGCTGTGATTTTCCATCTGTTACCCACAAAGGCTTTCCAAATAAAAATGCCCTGTTGTTTTAATTAGTTGTTATTGAGTTTGACTAGCAGGTGCAGTTCTACTTTGCAATGATAAATAATTTAAAACTTGTACTCTCACCAGATGTTATAACCACAAATTAAAATAAGCCAGACTCTCATGTATGTTATTCCTCAGAAACAGATCTTCATGCCATGCTGGCTTTCACGTGCTTGGCAATTACTCACCGCATCATGGCTGCCCTAAAACTGGTGCACACACACCTCATTCTGAGGGTTACAGTCCAGTCCATTTCAAGTCATCCAGCTCTCCATAATCTAGACTGCAAACCTGGTTAATAAAACCATCTTCCCTTCTTTGTCCTGAGCCTTAGCCTGTGCATCTTTTTGCTATTCGTCTTTTCCTGGCCTTCATTTGGCTCTACCACTGAGTCCTTCAGATGAGGTCTTTAGAATGATAGAACGTACTTCATTCGGTCATTAAAAATATATATATGTGAATGCCTACAAAGTACAAGACACTGTACTGACCCATAGCGATGAGTGGACAGTCCAGGCAATGTCCCAGTAGTCACCAAGCTCATATTCTAGGTGGATCAGAACTTTGGAGCAATGATTTTCAATCTTTTTAATCTCATGGCACACATTAACTAATTGCTAAAATTCTGTGGCACACCAAAAAATATATATTTTTTGCCAATCTGACCCAAAAAAAGGTATTGT